GTCATTTTTTTCGGCAACATGGCCCCCCTCCATGTTTTCATTCGGCACCCGGTGATCAAAAATGTTGTCAACGAGTGGTAACATCGGGTTACATGGTTTGAAGGTCAAAGCACCTTTCGATGTTCATTGGTTCGTTAGATATGAGCTTGGAACTTTTTACTAGCCGAAAAACGGCTGTTTTCAATCTGAACATGCATCCGGTTTGTACGCGTACTGGATCTCAAATTGCCTCTAATGTGGGTCGAAAAAAGTCCATTTCTCAAATGAGCCGTTTTCGCATCAAGGTTGCTGCGACCAGATTTGCGATCACTTGCATGTTGACAATAACGCCACTGAATGCTTCTTCCACCACTGTGTATCGCCTGCACCGGCAGTCTGCTTTCAAAGGGATAGGCCCTCAGAAACAAAACCATGGAATTTTGCGGCAATCAAAAATGCCATATGTTTCCAGATACGCACTAATGTTTTACTAGATATCACTCGATGCGCAATGGCACTGCAAACACGATGGTATAACTTAAGACATTTCTGCACGCATAATTTTGATGTTTTTTTTCCAAAAATCACCCTGAAACGCCGCTTGATGTTGATTTTGCAATTGCTACTCAAACTGTTTGCATTAACAGAAACGCTTGCCGCTGTACTGACAGACTAAATGGACCCTGCCATTTTATTCAGAACGGAAAAAAATTGTTTGGAAAATTAGAATTTTGTTCCACAAATCGGTCCCCCCAAAATTTTCGGTTGGCACCCTGTGATCAAAAATGTTGTCAACAAGTGGTGACATCAGGTTACATCGTTTGCAAGCTATAGCACCCTTCGATTTTCATTAGATCAATAGATATGAGTTTGGAATATTTTGCTTGCCGAAAAGGGCAGTTTTGAAACAGAACATGCATTCGATTTATACGCGTGCTGGATTTGATATTGACACTCAGATGGGTCGTAAAAACGCCCGTTTCTGACGTGGGCCGTTTTTCGCATCAAGGTAGCCGCGGCCAGATTTGCGATCACTTACATGTTAAGAATAACGCCACTGAATGCTCGTTCCACCACTGTGTATCACCTGCACCGGCAATCTGCTTTCAAAGGGAGCGGCTCCAAAAAACAAAACCCTGGAAATTTGCGGCCATCAAGAATCCTATATGTTTCCAGCAACACACTAATGTTTTACTATATATCATTTTACGCGCAATGGCACGGCGAACACGATGGTAAAACTTGAAACATTAACGCACGTATAGTTTTGAAGTTATTTCCAAAAAAGCACTCTCAAAAGGCGCTTGATGTTGGTTTCGCAATTGCTGCACAAACTGCTTGCATGCACAGAAACACTTGCCGCTGCACTTACACACTAAATGGACGATGCCCTTTGATTCAGACATGAAAAAATTCCGTTTGCAAAAGTTACATTTTGTTCGACAAACAGGCCTTCCAAAATTTTTGGTCCGCAACCGATGACAAGAAATATTGTCAACAAGTGATGACATTGGTTTGCATCGTTTGTAACATAAAGCACCTTCGATTTACATTGGTTCGCTAGATATGAGTTTGAAACATTTTTCCGGCCGAAAAACGGCGTTTTTCAACCTGAACATGCATCCGGTATGTACGCGTGCTGGATTTCATATTGCCCCTCATATGGGTCGAAGAAAGGTCCGTTTCTGAAATGGGCCGGTTTCCCATCAATGTATCCGCGGCCAGATTTGCAATCAATTGCATGTTGACAACAACGCCAATGAATGCTTGTCCCACCACTGTGTGTCGTCTCCACCGGAAATCTGCTTTCAAGCGGAGCGGCTCTCAGAAACAAAACCATGGAAATTTGTGGCCATCAAGAATGCTATATGTTTCCAGCAACGCACTAATGTTTTATTATATATCTTTGGACGCGCAATGGCACGGCAAACACGATGGTATAACTAAAAACATTAACGCACGCATAGTTATTACGTTACTTCCAAAAAGCATTCTGAAACGTCGCTTGATGTTGATTTTTCAATTGCTGCACAAACTGTTTGCATGCACAGAAAGACTTGCCGCTGCACTTACACACTAAATGGACGATGCCCTTTCATTCAGAAAGAAACGATTGCGTTTGGAAACTTTGCATTTTTGCAACAAAATGCCCCCCCCCCCTAGCAATTTTATGTTGCCACTAGGTGATCAAAAATGTTGTGAACATGTGGTAACATTGGTTTACATCGTTTGCAAGTTAAAGCACCCTTCGATTTTCATTGGTTCGTTAGGTATGAGTTTGGAAATTTTGCGAGCCGAAAAACTGCTCTTTTCAATGTGAACATGCTTCCGATTTGTGCGCGATCTGGAATTCATATTGGCCCTCACATGGATTGAAAAACGTCCGTTTCTCAAATGGGCCGTTTTTCGCATCAAGGCAGCGGCGGCCAGATTTGCGATCACTGTCTTACATTGTGCCACCCGGAACATTAAAGTAAGATGTTTATTGTTTCTTGTTGGAACCAACACACAGAACGTATCTTTGGTTGGCATAAGCCCCATATTGTTTAATATAGTATTTCTGATATGGACATCGGATAACACTGGGGTTAGTTAGGTTTTCTGTCCTTTAAATCCCCTTGGTCCTTGGACATTTTTCGGTGGATGAGGACTAGTGTGAGCACACTTGTTCAAGCACGCTATGTCATTATTACAACTTGGCTTAATAACCAGCATGTATTTCGATGTCATGTGGTATCCAGATGTCAGTTATGATGTCAGCTCACCAGCACCGCTGCGTTTCCGTCGGCGTCGGCCAGATGTGCAAACTACCTCGGCAGCATGCGCTGCATGGCCGGAGACCTGGGCCGGGCAGAGTGGGAGCGTGGGCCGAGCGACCACTCACCCGCGGCTCCGACCCGCATGGGCAGGGACGCTGGAGCTGGAACGACTTCCCGCTCTACCACACCGTGTACGAGACGTTCTCGGCCATGGCGCACCTGGATCCGGAGTTCGTGTATCACCAGGCGCTGGGGCGGCTGTGGGCCGTGCTGGCCCAGCGGCTGGCCCAGCAGCCGCTGCTGCCCATAGACGTGCGCGACGTGGAGAAGCCTCTCCGGCTGGGCCTTGACCACATCAGGCGGAGCTACGGCCAGCTGATGGACCGGCACAACGTGTCGCTCTGTGGGTAACGCTGGCTGAGCCTGCCCGCAGCCAGCGACCGGTGGATAAGTGAATCATGCCGTCGAATTCAGGTAAGCTGGGTTGTCGGAGCTTCAGGGTGTGGGGTGTTGTTACTGCTGGCTCAGTGTTGTTGATAACTACCAGACCAACAACCAGAGGTCCGGTCTCTGTCTGTCAACGCAGTGGGTGATGTGTGTCCCGGTCAGTGGCTGATTTGTCTGTCCAGACAGTGGCTGATGCGTGGCCTGGCCTGTGAATGGTCTGTCTGTCCAGCCAGTGGCTGATGCGTGGCTCGGCCTGTGAATGGTCTGTCCGTCCAGCCAGTGGCTGATGTGTATCCTGGCCAGTGGCTGGTCTGTCTGTCCGGCCAGTGGCTGATGTGTGGCACGGCCAGTAACTGGTTTGTCTGCCCAGCCAGTGGCTGATGTGTGGCCTGGCCAACAACTGACCCGTCTATATGTTCAGTGGGTGATGTTCATGTTCAGCCAATGATTGGTGTCTCGGCGTGTTCAGAGGCAGTCTGGAGCGGGCCGGGCAGCGGTACGTGACTGCAGCACAGCAGTTTCACAAGGAGATCTTCTCATGCACTGATTTAGGTAGGTGCATCCGACGGCGTTGTTTGAGGGCTACATGTACTGCATTCCGCCGTTCGGCCAAAAAGTTAAATGGAAACGATCTGCTTTGTATAGTTTTATGGCTTAGCTTGAACCTTGAAAGCAAATCTTGGTATTCATACTTATTTTCGAAACCAATGCACGTTGTTATTCATAAATGCATTGGTTATGAAAGAAGCTGCTTGCCATATGACACTGACACAACAGATAGTGTCGTTTACACGATCCACAATGCACTGAAAGAGTTACGTGATTCGTAAATGGCGTAAATGAGGTCCCGGCCGGACGGACCGGACCCTTAATGAGGCCTACAGCCAGCCTTTTTGACTCTTCAGCTTCCAAGTTAGGCCCTGAATCGTCCATACTGAGGGGCCTTTAGGGCTCTCCAAACACTGTCCTTGGTTCGCTCAGGTTCTTTTCAGCATAGGGCCACCTGTGAGGCACTGTCGGCCTTGACCGATGCAGGATGTCTCTCACCTATTGAGCGACAACGGTACAATGCAGATCATGGGTCCTAGCCTTATCCCTGCTTGGGAAATGGGCCTTTAGGCCCAGAATGCATCGGAGCCGACTGTTCGGTACTCATAATGCCTGGTCGACAAAGGGGGCCTCACCTTCTCAGGGGGAAGAGGGTAATCAGCGCAAAGGGACCTCTGATTTAAATTTGAGAGCCCCGGCCCGCAGGGCGATCACCCTTAATACGACCTCCGGCCAGCCCCTCAGGCCCAGAAACCGGGCTCTCAGTCGTCAGTCTCGAGGACCCCTCGAGACCTAAAGGGGCGGGGGAGGGGCACATGCCCCGTACCCTTCTCCCTGCACTGTCTGCATCACTTGATGACGTCGAGTGAAGGTGGGAAAAGGTAAATGCACGTGCGCTTTTAACCCTCTCCGAACGGTGAGCCACTGATGCTCATGTTCAGCGACAATGTTTTTGCAGATTATTCGGAAGATTCGCTCGTAAAATCTGATGTTCATTTACACCTAATTGGATTTAAACATGTTCCCCTGGCAATTCACAGCTCACCTTCACGTGTTCCACTGATCTGGAGCTTCGACAGATCAACGATCAGATGGTCGGCGTCGAGAGATCATTTGTCGATCCCGACGGTCTTCTGGTCGATGAACAAAACCGGTGAGCTAAGCGATGCTGTATCACACTTCCACACGGGAACTGATAATTCCATGCGTTTCGATAAGTTGTCTTGTAACCGTTATATGTCTCATTGACGCACGTTGTTTTCTACCATGGCTCAGTCAGCGCCAGTCAGTGTCAGCGGTGATGACGTCAGCGTCTGAGCCAGGCGGCGACGTGAGTAGGTGACAGCGGTCGTGCGAGAGGTGGCGCCAAGGGCTATCGCTAACATGGAGGACTGGTCGTGTCACGTGATCTTACTGTTTGCAATGATCAGCGCCGGAACACCAACAACACAACACCAATTCGGACCGGACGCCACTCATCTGCTGCGAGTCTACTGAAGCCACTTCACCGGAGCGTGTAAACCCGACAGAGCTGCTGCCCGAAGAATGCGGCGACCCTAACAGAACAATCACTGCCTATATCCGTTTCCGCCGTGACACGACAGCCATTGCAACACATGATATAGTGATGGACGACACGGATTTCCTAGGCCCTGTGTTTATGGTACAAGGTGTTGGCGCCTTTGACGCTATACTAGGTAAGTGGCCGTGGATGGTGCTGTTCGGCCGGCAGACGGATGCCGGCGGGCAGGAGTGGTTCTGCGGCGGCGTCCTCATTACCGACCGACAAGTGCTCACGGCCGCCCACTGCATGCGGCCCGAGCAGGCCGCCACCGTGGTTGCCCGCATCGGCGATCATTATCTCACCACCTTCGATGACGTCCATCATCAGGAGCGTAACATCACCAGGATCGTGCGGCACCCGCAGTATCACGCCTCGCAGAACGACCTGGCGGTGGTGCGGCTGCAGTCGCCGGTGCAGCTGACGAACGCCGTGCGGCCCATCTGCCTGCCGCCAGCCGGCTCCCAGCACCACGGCCAGGACTATCGAGATGGCCGGCTGGGGCCTGGTCGAGTTCGGCGGCGAGACGGCCGACGTGTTGCAGGAGGTGCCGCTGCGCGTGGTCGACGAGGACGCCTGTGAAGACGCCTACCGCCAGGCGCCCGCGTTCAACATGACATTTCCCGGTGGTTTTCAGGGCACCAAGATCTGTGCGGGCAGCCGCGACGACAAGCCACGGGACGCGTGTCGGGGAGACTCGGGGGGTCCGCTGATGGTCCAGCTTGCCGACGGCTCCTACCAGCTCACTGGTATCGTCTCCACCGGCGTTGGCTGTAGAAACCCTGAATTTCACGGCATCTACACCAAGGTGTCCTCCTACATCGACCGGATCCTCGGCAATCTCATTGAGTAGTGTGTCACTGGCTGTGGCATGGTGTGCAAAGACTATATCAGTTTGGTGCACTAACGTGCCCAGCCGTAAGCCTAGTATCTACTTAATGCTCTAAAGATAATCGCCCACCAGGTGGATGGGTGCATATTTGAGGGGAATTTTAAATTGACTTGAATACCAGCCCATGGCGCTGACCGGCAAACGGTTTCTGCTTACAACGGAAGGCGACGAATGTGGAGATTGCGGACCACGTGCAAGGTCTTCACTTCGCTCTTTATGAACGGGATTATCCGCTTTGGAAGCGAAAGCGGACGACCACGTGACAGCGCTAAGAGGCTTGGGATTCGTGACTCGCATCTTAAGCTGGGGCGCAACGCAGATCTAAATCCTTCAGCGAATCGTTCCTCCGGCGCGCTGCAGGTCGACGCCGCTCTCGAATGCCCCCTCTCCTTATCGCCGGATGTCTGACCCAGTCTGGGGCGGCGCGGAGGTGGAGGCAGAGGGGCAGTCGTTCAATTTAAAGGTGTTTCGTTGTGGTGTGATGCGCTGCAGTAGGTACTGCGCTGCTTGGATGACGTGTGCATGTTGGTAAACAGACGCACGTCTAAGCGTCTACATACGAGGCACTTGAGGAGATATTTCTACGACCCTTGTCATTTGCGTGTTAAATCCGTTTTGGGTTCTCTTGCATGAGGAACTCAAATCAGGAGCTTTCGGCATTTGGCCGGCCGTATATCATACTATAATTATTGTGCCGGTAATCACCTGCTCTGTGAGTATATCGGTATAAAAACAGAGCAGGTAACTTAAATGTTCCCGTCCATGCTTCCATCATCCTCCTGTGGCAGACGGCGGGGTCCAGCCCGAGAGACTGTTACCAGTGCTCAGAAGACAAAACTGCAAAGCGATTTGAGAGGCACAGCAGGGGTCGAACATGTTCTCGGGGTGCTGATCTCGCTGTCCGTCGGCCTTGGAGCAGTGGCTGGTGCGGGAATTTCTTCACTGTTCGGCTTAATCCACCATAAGCCCTATTTTCCGCGTAGTGTCGCGAACAAGTGCCTATAACAGTCTAGCTGAAGTTTGCCTTTGTAAAGGCGTATGCTCAGTAAGTGATGATATGTGTGTATTGGACAGCTGATCCGTAAGTAAAGAAATTTATGTTCCGAAGTGGGCTGCTATTCTGTCAAACAACTCAGTCACCGCGTTTTGGAATGCGCATACCGTATGGGCGCTGGCTGCGTGCAATCGGTAATGACATTAAAAGCTTGTATCTGCCACATTTTCACTGGTCTTCATTTTCATATGCCCAACGGACAGACGCGCTGTTGCTTGTGCAATATACCAACGGAATTTTTTTAATGACATCTGGAACCCAAACCGAGTCATTTCCACAAAAATATCGGCACCAAAAAAGCCGTCCTTAAACGAAGATACTTTCAAGCCTCTCAGGCAAGCGCCCTGTGTTTGTGCAACAAGTGATGCCTGTCAAGCCAGTAATTTGCGCGTTGGATCCATGTTGAGGTATTGTATTGGGTTTCTGTGCCCATCTTCTCAAAAGATTCCTTAGCGCTTTGGCGCGGTGCTTCCAGTGATATGACGTCTGTATAAAGCCATTGTTTATACTTCAACGCATCGCTGGTGCTGCGCACCTCTGGTCCGTAGTGCGTTGCATGTGTCGGGCTGATCAACGGCTGGTCGTCATGTGACGGCGGCATGGCGGAATGCCCAGACTGATGAAATTTCCCGGTAGCAGGTTTCTTACATGTGCACGGGAATTCCCTCATGCAATCCGTGCCGATTGTGGTATGTGGATGAATGCAGCTGACGTTCGTCGGCACTGTGGTCATGAAAAATAAGCTTCCCATAAAAGACTTGTTCACTTTCAGAAAGCCATGCAGTGTCTCGCGTCTGGATGGATGTGACCTTTACCATTTAGCGCCGCGGTTTTTTCCGTCTCAGCACGCCTATTAAACGGGTCGGTCTGCTTCAGTGGTAGATTCAGGGAGCACGGGGTGATGACCCTCTTTGGCCAAAAGCGACCCATGTGCTTCAAAGGTGCCCATAATCAGCCGGAAGAAGCTTTTTAAAACAAAACAGAACAAAATTGGGCGACTTTGAGCCTCCAGGTGACCAAGAACAGCTGCAAGCAGAAGTGAAGGGCCCGTGAGCAGACAAATGCAGTTCTTCGTTTACTTCGAGGGCAGTCAAAGGTGAGATTTCTAAGTTCATTACGCTGTCAAGAAGCCCTTCGCTGTTGTTGACGCTAGCTGCCTTCTTACCGGGTCAATGCGATCGCTTAGGGGCTTTCCACGTTGCCCTTGTGGTCTCTTTGCATCTGCTTAGAGGGCCCCACGCCGTTGCTGGGCCTTAATTGTCAACTTTCCGACCGACCAGGGGCCGTCCATGGATTATTGCCATTCGCCCAAAAGACTCTTTACACTATTGCCGGGACCCCATTGGTTAACCTGCTGGGCACTCTCGGTTAATCACGGGCCCTTCACGTTAGTTTCGCGTTCTATCCGCATGCTCGGAAGCCCCCACGCTGCTGTTGGGGTCCATATAAGTTAACACACCAAGGCACTCGACACTCAGGGGCCCTATGCTTTGGTCTGAAGTCCTTTCCCTTAATTCCATCCGCGGAGGACCCTACACTAACGGTCATTTGTTCGGTATATGGTTATGGCAGGCATCTGTCGATGAATACCTGCGCATAGTGCTATAAACTTAACATTCTCCTCCACCTTTTTCTGGAAGAAAGACGGAAAACATCTTCTCCAAACGACGTCGGAGTTGGATGTTAAGTGCTTTTTTAGTATAGACAGGCCATGAAAACAACTGACCTATAACTATACTTAACATTACTGCACTTTGCTGAAATGCTGACGCAGCCGTAACGCATTACGTACTCTGAATTCGGTTTGTAATCCCCTGACACTATTTGCGTCGCAGACAGCATCACGTCATCACAGCACCTTTCATCATCACACAAAGGCATCATTTCAAGTACCTCGACCAGGTTTACTTAGTGGAATGCGTGCGGTAGGGACGGGCATTATGACCAGCTTGCAAAAACGCACAGCTCTACACCCCGGCGTCCATGTCCTCTTTAGATCTGCTCTTCATGGACGAAACAAACATTTTAGAACGTGAGGTGCAGAAAACCCTTTTGTAGTCGGTTCTTTCCATGCGTTACCATGCAACAAACTACAAACAAGAATTCTGACGCGCTCTTTCAACACCTCGCGCAGCAAGAGGCTTGATTCGAAGGAGCACCATTCAGGCGTGGAACAAAGTTGGGCTCCCCTTCATTTGGATGCATTACCATCAAAACACACCAAAACAAGGACGTGCTCCACCAAGCAGTGTGGCTACATGGCCTGGCTCTGGTCTGCCAGCCCGCCCTCGCCTAGACCAAACGCCTCCTCCCGCCTGACAGGCTGGCGGCTGCGGCTTACGCCCGTCTTCGCCAGCTGGGGCTCAGGCGAGTTCGGCTACTACGGCGCCACCGAACTGGTGGAGGAATACATCCACCTGATCGGCGGCAGGACGGTGGCCTATCTCAACGTCGACCTGGCCATCATCTACACCTACAACCTGATGGTGGTCGCCAGCCCGCTCATGCACCACGTCACAGTGGAGGCCGCCAGACGGGCCAGTTGAAGCCGGCGACGGGGTCAGCGGGTAACGAATGCGGGCGGAAGAGGAGCGAGGTGTATTTTTGTCGTCCATGGCCATAGAGGTGATGTTGAATCTGAAGATCCTGGGAGATTCGCCCATCCCTTCCCCCAACCGTGGGGCTGCTCTTAATCACAGTGGCACGTGACCTGGCGGCCTACAACAAATCATCAGGTCACTACCTGCGCCCGTCACAGAGTCAGGGCGGGCCTTTAAATGAGTCTGGCACGTTGTTGCGTTACCCTAATGAAGCCATACGAAAGGTCATTATTCCTCTCCGGGCAAACTCACTGCAGCGGCGTCGCTATTTTCCAGTCGGGACTCGTAACAAGTTGTAATAATATTACGCCGTGGAGGGCGTTTATGACCGTGTTTATTGAGAAAATCACAAACATCTTCCCGTCCAACATGGTTTTACCAAATCCAGCAATCACGACGGCAGAAAACCAACGCCGTGACCGTCGTCATGACAACACAGCCAACTTAGTGATGAAATACAGCAATACATTTCGCGTGCAAAACTACAAAATTCACCAAAATTTTCCAAGGCTTTAACTCCAATAAGCATAGGACAAATCAAAATGGCAGATATCCGCAAAGCAACTCACATTAACAGTTACAATGTTACCACACATCGGTTGTCACCTGCGTGCAGGACCAAACCGCGACATCAGCGCCTCTACAATACTTCACTCCAAGCCTCGCGCTCTCTACCTAGCTGCAACGTACGGCAAGCTCTTACTTTTCAGAACTCACGCAACTACTGTATTCTTAACCAGAGGAGGCGTGATTGACGGCGAACTTGTACCGAAAGAGGGGATAGTTTACCAAGAGCCTCCAAAACCGAGAGCCCCTATATTTTAGTATAGGCGCAAAGCCAGACTCTGGGCGAGGGAGGGGAACGTGGCAAGTATCCCCTGGTAGCAAAGACATGTCCGCTCGAATAATAATAAAAAATATGATATATGGTCCATCTGTTAATGAGGACCTGTTTTATATTCCCCATTTTTACCTTCTTCATATGACTGGAATGGTAGCCAGAAGCCTGGGGCGCAGCCAGAATCTTGGCAAGGGGGGGGGGGGCATAGGGTTGAAAAAGAGCCCCATGGTGGCAAAAGACTCCCCAAACAAAATTGTTGGATATGGTCTATTTTATTGACGACTTGTTTTTGTTAGAGAGGGACATGTATATATATATATATATATATATATATATATATATATATATATGTACATGCGTTTTTGTTTGTTTTTATTGATGCGCGATGTACATAATACATACATGTGTGTTTTACATGTAAATGATTATATGTATATATATATATATATATATATATATATATATACATATAATCATATATATATATATATATATATATATGTATATATATATAAATGTTGGAACATTTTGGCAGAATTCCTTCTTTCATAAATGTTTGATTAAAAATAACTGCTGACTCAGCATTGACGAGCTATTTGATGCATCGTTCTAGTTGCCGGGCCTTTGACTTTGCGTCATCGCGTAGATTAAAGATGGTTCGCACAAAATTACTCATATATTCATGGAAGGAGTGATGGAAGGAGTGATGAATATATGAGTAATTTTGTGCCATCCATCTTTAATCAAAGCGATGACGCAAAGTCAAAGGCCCGGAAACTAGAACGATGCATCAAGAAGCTCGTCAATGCTGAGTCAGCAGTTATTTTTAATCAAACATATATATATATATATATATATATATATATATATATATACATGTATATGGGTATATATCACACATTATGCTCTCCGTGCCATATGGTGCGTTACAGGCCAGACGCTGCCGCGAGATCGATTCTGATTCTGTCGTCGGTATACTGAATTATCTCCATGTCACCACATCAAAGGGCAGTTGAAAGTTGCTATTATGCACTGCTCAGATTTTTGGCATGGTATTCAAGCGCTGCCTGCATAGGTCACACTTTTAAGGATATCAACGTTTCGAAAAAGGCCAAAGTACTTTACCTGTTCAGTATGCTAGTGCTCACAAAATTGTGTTATCGTCTGGTGTTCAAATGCGTGATTGCCAATTACAAAAGCGGTTCTATGAACAGCCCATATTGGTGTAAAGCTTCGAAACTAAGAAAATTTATAGGTCAAATGGGCTGTACCATCGAACAGAGTTTCCGTGATTCGCTTGGATTACTGACCGCCGCATGCAAAGGGTCGTCCATGAATTACGTCGCACATGGAGAGGAAGATGTGTCTTGATGCATCGTGATCTAAACGCACCGAGGGAAGGAGGAGTTTGGATAACTTTTGGATAACTCAGGTTGTCGCAAATCAAGCTATTTTGTGTAGTTCCGACCTTCTCTTTAATGTTCTCAGCTATTAAACTCCGCGCGCTGTAGAAAAATGCGTCGCCGTTGATTATCGTGTACCACACAAACATTTCAAAGCTAAAGCAAGCTTGGTATCAGCCTGGTTTAAGTCATTTCGAATTCTACGCAACCATCACCAGCGTGTTATTCACACCATTAAGTAGATCCTGAGCATACGGTTCTGCACATTGGTGCACCAAAAAGAAATAGCCTTAGCACAGGCAATGACAAAGACAGTGACCAACTACTCAATAAGATTGCTGAGGATCCAGTCAATATAGAAGGACACTTTGGTGTAGATGCCGGGAAAATCGGGGTTGCCACAGCCGACGCCGGTGGAGACGATACCAATGAGCTGGTAGGAGCCGTCGGGCAGCTCGACCATCAGTGGACCCCCCGAGTCTCCCCGGCACGCGTCGCGTGGCTTGTCGTCGCGGCTGCCCGCACAGATCTTGGTGCCCTGAAAGCCTCCGGGAAATGCGGTGTTGAAGGCGGGCGCCTGGCGGTAGGCGTCCTCACAGGCGTCCTCGTCGAACACACGCAACGGCACCTCCTGCAGCACGTCGGCCGTCTCGCCGCCGAACTCGACCAAGCCCCAGCCGGCCATCTCGACATCCTGGCCGTGGTGCTGGGAGCCGGCCGGCGGCAGGCAGATGGGCCGCACGGCGTTCGTCAGCTGCACCGGCGACTGCAGCCGCACCACCGCCAGGTCGTTCTGCGAGGCGTGGTACTGCGGGTGCCGCACGATGCTGGCGATGTTGCGTTCCTGGTGGTCGACGTCCTCGAAGGTGGTGAGGTCATGATCGCCGATGCGGGCCAGCACGGTGGCGGCCTGCTCTGGCCGTAGGCAGTGGGCGGCTGTGAGCACGTGTCGGTCGTTGATGAGGACGCCGCCGCAGAACCACTCCTGCCCGCCGGTGTCCGTCCGCTGGCCAAACAGCACCATCCACGGCCACTTGCCGAGAATAGCGTTAAAACCGCCAACAGCTTGCGCGACGAACACAGGGCCTGTGAAATCCGTGTCTTTCTGAAGTGGGTCATGTTTTTCAATGGCCGTTGTGTCACGGCGGAAACGCAAGACGGTGATTGTTCTGTTAGGGTTGCCGCATTCCTCTGGCAGCAGCTGTGTGAGGCTTACAGGCTTCGGTGAGGTGGCTCCAGTAGACTCGCAACAGATGAGCGGCGTCCGGCCCGAAAAGCCACAGGGCGTCGGTGGCTTGTTCAGGATGTCCGCTCTGGTCTTGTAGGCGGGGCAGTCGAGGATTGGTGTGCACTGTTGGTTCTCACCACTGCAGCGTCCAGTCCGGTCCAAAAACTTGATTGGCGCTACGGCGCTGAGCAGCGCAAACAGCACAATCCCGTGACACGACCAGCGTTTCATGCTAGCGCGAGCTGCGGCGTCACCTCTCGCACGACCGCTGTCACCTCCTCTCGCCGTCGCCTGGCCCGGCGCAGTGGAGCCGTCTGTGTGGCTCCAGCGCCTCCCTGCTGCGCCGCTCGGTCTGGCGCGGCGCCAGCGGGCGCCGCCAGCGCTGTGCGCTCGCCCTTTGTACGTTAATAGTGTGCTGGTTTCCTCGGGTCTGCACCGCTGGTGTGCTTGTTTTTTTATGCAGGGCGCGATCATTTGCTGATATGCCACGTGCAGGGCTGGATCATTAACATTCGTCCGTCGACTCGCGATCGTCGCAGTCGGGTTTTCCCCGCCTGTCACCCTGGCGGACATCGACTTCGAGGAAATGCACGGCCCCGAGTGATTGCGCTGTGTGGCTGCTGACGTCATTTCCGACCGGTAGGCCCGTTCGTTTAATGCCGCGCAAGATCGGTCGCTGATATGCCGCGTGAATAATGGCTGGATAAATACCGCTCCGTCTCGGCCGTCAACCACTTCAGTCGGGATTTACCGCCTGGCGCTGCGGGCGGGTGCTTCGCGGGACGGTGACGTCCAGCAAATGTACGGCCTAGCTGATTGAGCTGTATGGCGGATGATGTCTATCGAAACGATGACAACAATGCATGCATGCACGAGGGCGTGATGTTTGCAAGTCATATGGTTGGAACTCATGCCGTTGTTTACAGATGCGTCATTTTCCAAACTGCTTCTCTGTCTTTCTCTTTCTTTCACCCTTTTGTACTTGTAGTTGTCCATTGCGCTGCATCACACTGGCATTTCCATGCCAATTACACGGTGATGCGCAGGTGAAACTACGTGAGAAACATAGAATATACTGCAATCCAATGCAATTTTTTAATTAAAGACGCCTGATTGATCAATGATGGTCCGAGCCAAAAAATGCCACACACACACACACACACACACACACACACACACACACACACACACACACACACACACACACACACACACACACACACACACACACACACACACACACACACACACACACACACACACACACACACACACACACACACACACACACGCACGCACGCACGCACGCACGCACACACACACACACACACACACACACACACACACACACACACACACACACACACACACACACACACACACACACACACACACACACACACACACACAATGATAATGATAATTTTTTGGTTTGGTACCTGTGGCCGACAGTCTATCGACAATGTGTTGTGTA